CCATCGGGTAGCATGCAGATTTTCTATTAACTCTTTCATAAGTTGCACCATCTTCAGCCCATCTTATACCTATCGATATCCATCGGATTTAACCCATCGGATAGCATGCAGATTTTCTATTAACTCTTTCATAAGTTGCACCATCTTCAGCCCATCTTATACCTATCGATATCCATCACTTCTTAATGATTAACGTTGTCTCAATGAATATGAAAGTAAGATATTTATTTATTATTATCATTTATTTTTCTTTTTATTTTTAAACCAACGTTTTGAATAAATTGGAATAAAACATTCAGGTGTAAGTATGGATGGGTAGTTGGTCGAAAACTTATGCGGTGAGCCAGGATTTTACTTTTTTTTGCTTAGAATTTAGAGGTATTTACTTACTGGGTTGTCAGTATTGGTACTGACACTTGGGATGGTCTTTCATTTATACATCCGTGTATTTTTTAATTAGAGGAAAATACTCATTTTAGTTGGTTGTTGATATCTGTCTCGCTATTAGGAGTTTTTATGTCAAAGGTCCTGTGGAAAAATTTCTTGAATCTCGCGCAAAACTGCTTCCAAAAGGCTCTTGAAAGTGCTTGAAAAGTGCTTGAAAATTCAGAAAAATGTGCTTGAAAAGTGCTTGAAAATTCAGAAAAATGTGCTTGAAAAGTGCTTGAATTTTTAGCACTGAGGCTGCATGAACCCTGTTATTATCTTTTAGTAAAGTGAAACACAAGCAGTGACTTGCAATGTCGACATCTGATTTTTAATGTTTTCTCCATTAGCCAGTGATATGCGGTTTGTGTAGTCTGCCGCCTCAATTTAACAGATTGAATGGAGAACCACTCATGTCAAATGCTCTCAGAAGCTGTTTCTTCAAATGTAACAACTTCTGCCAAGTGCTCTGAAGTTGGGAAAAAGAGTACTTTGAAACCACATACTGCAGTATCATGAAAGTTCCAGGCTCCTACTTCTTACTGAGAACATGTCATGAGGATATATAAAAATAATAATCTAAGCCATTTTCGAGTCTCCCAAGCAATCATTCCTTAAATAAAATCTTATTTACGTACCCATAATTCCAGAAACTATGCGTTTCTTGAGTTCAGTTTTTCATGATTATTAATTTTATATTTAAGTAATTGTAAGTTTGTAATTGTTGATTATTAATTTTGTATTTGTCCTGTTTTTTGTAATTTTTCTCATAGTTGGTATTTTGGACAAATGTCAAGACAAGATGCAACTGATCTTTTAATGGCGGAAAAAGAAGGGGGCGTTTTCTTAGTGAGAGATAGTGTAACGATACAAGGAGACTACGTTCTTTGCGTTAGGTAAGTCATTTTTCATGCCAAAAATGCTTTAGCTCTGCTTGAAATTTTGCTGCCCCCCCCCCCATTCTTTTTTTCTACTTATAATATTTTGTAAAAAAGAAACAAGTGCTTTCTCATTTATCATTCAGACAACAGTCTCCTATTTCAGGGAAGTTACTCTGAAGGTGCAATGTATAGAACGTCTGTGTAGCAATAGTAGCATTATCGATCGCAGGCAAAATGTAAATGCATGTATGCACCCTCTTGTACTCGAAGCGCTGAATTGACCTGTTACAAATATGAATGCAGCGTGGAAAAAGTAACAATATTTGTTCTTTGATTTTCAAGCAAATAGCGCTGCTCCTCAGTGCATACACTTCTATTCCTTTCAAATGCGTTCTGAAACCTATATCTGTTAAAAAAAAAAAAACTGTTAATAAATTGAACTGAACTGAAGGTCTTTAGCTTGCAAAAGGGTATGCGGCTTCGGAGATTACTTGATCTTCAGAACAAACCTTGTTGTTGGTAAATGGGTGGTATTGTCTCTCAATCAGATGATAGTATTTTTAATCTTGCAATCAAATACATCAGTTTTTCTGCTTGTTTTGTTTCTTTTCCTCAGGGAAGATCAGAAAGTTAGTCACTACATCATAAACAAAATGCAGCAGAATGATCAAATAAGTTACAGAATTGGAGATCAGACATTTCCAGACCTCCCTAACCTAATAGCTTTTTATAAACTTCATTACTTAGACACAACTCCTCTTATTAGACCGGCACCTAGACGAATAGAAACTGTGATCGCCAAGTATGACTTCGATGGCAAGGTGAGTACTATCCGTATTAAACCCAATTACCATTTTAGCCTTTACTGTTTGATTGTGGTCGACTGATGGGCTCAGAAAGAACACCATGACACAAGTTTCACTTTAAAAAACACATATTGATCTATAAAGAGCCTGCAACCATCAATAGCAAAATCTTATACAGAAAACAAGCAGTACAACAATCATGACGCCAAAATGGCCGCTTCAAAAATGAGGGTTATTGTCATTTATGGCTGGTGAGCCACCAAGGCAGCACTTCCTGTTTCTAAGTAAAAGAAAATTCTTACTTTTCTCCCTTACTTGAAGGAAGAAAATACCATCGTAAAATCGCGCCTTACAACGGTTTCGGCACGCTTCTCAATCGAGTACTGTTCCATTCCCAACCTTTATCGTTTAAAGTGTAAATAATTTGCTATAGCTGAGCCAAAGCGTCTTGATTGAGGCTACTATACAGGGTTATCCAAAAGTCACTGACCACCCCTGTTACTTTTTTTCCAAATTGAGATAGAAGTTTGAAACTTTGGGAATGTTCCTCGGTCTAAGGTAGCAACTTTTTGGTCCCCCAAAAATTTTGGGGGGCGGTCCCCCTTAAGGGGGGCGGGGGCTAACTTTTTTTCTCAAATGGCAACCCCCCCTTGTGATACCTCATCCGAAAGATAATAAAAAAAGACAATTTTTGGCGCAAACCGCAGGTCAAAATGTTCATTTTTGACAAAATGGCGGCTGGTCAAAGTTCAAAATGGCGGAAATTTGGCATCTCCGTAGTTTATTGACGGATTGGTGTGAAACTCGGAATCCTAGGGTTTTTCGGGATAAGAAAAACGATTCTGGCATTGGTTTTCCAGAAAAGTCTGTCCTTTTCAAAATGGCGGCGGTGAAAATGGCGGCCTCGAGCGGGAAGTGGATATTTAGGCTGCGTATCGTTGGATTTGCATGAAACTTTGTATTTGGGGGTATTTCGGCACGAGAAGAACGAAGCTTTCATTGTATATCTGAAATTTTGACAAATTCCAAAATGGCGGCGGGAAAATGGCGGGAAATCAGTGTTACGGCTGTTTACTAATGGATTAGCATGAAATTATTTGATATTTCAAGAATCTAATGAAAGATTCCATTTTAACCAGCCAAAAACCGCTAGGATATCGAATTTCATGCAAATCCATCGGTTAGGAGCCGTAAAACTGATTTCCCGCCATTTTGGAATTTGTCAAAATTTCAGATATCCAATGAAAGATTCGTTCTTCTCCTGCCGAAATACCCCCAAATACAAAGTTTCATGCAAATCCAACGATACGCAGCCTAAATATCCACTTCTCGCTCGAGGCCGCCATTTTCACCGCCGCCATTTTGAAAAGGACAGACTTTTCTGGAAAACCAATGCCAGAATCATTTTTCTCATCCCGAAAAACCCTAGGATTCCGAGTTTCACACCAATCCGTCAATAAGCAACGGAGATGCCAAATTTCCGCCATTTTGAACTTTGACCGGCCGCCATTTTGTCAAAAATGAACATTTTGACCTGCGGTTTGCGCCAAAAATTGTCTTTTTTTATTATCTTTCGAATGAAATATCACAAAGGGGGGGTTGCCATTTGAAAAAAAAAGTTAGCCCCCACCCCCCTTAAGGGGGGCCGCCCCCAAAATTTTTGGGGAACCAAAAAGTTGCTACCTTAGACCGAGGAACATTCCCAAAGTTTCAAACTTCTATCTCAATTTGGAAAAAAGTTACAGGGGTGGTCAGTGACTTTTGGCTAACCCTGTATTTTCATATTGCAGAGACTGCCACGGTAATGTCTAGTGTGCTATTTTACTCGTGCAAACCATTGAGTTTTCATGAGGGGGAGGTTTGAATTCATGGGTCAAGAAACATTAAATATCTCGGTTAGGGGTCAATTTCATTAATTATCGTTGCAAAAATTGTGTTCTACGTGAAATTTTGGTTAAGAAACATGTATCAAAATGCTTACTTTTGTACCTCGCCTAGTGGTCCATTGGGGCATTAATGAGAACAAGTAAGCCACTGGGGCATTAATACAAAGAAGTAAGCCATTAGAGCATTAATGCAAACAAGTAAGCCAATAGGGCATCAGTAAAAACAAGTAAGCCATTGGGGCATGAATGAAATTCGATAAGCCACATAGGCACATTAAATAATGAGCCACAGAGGCATTAATGAACATAGAGCCTAAAAAGGCATTAATGAAAATGAGCTTACAAAATTTCATAGAATAAAAGTAACAACAGACATAAATTTATATAATAATAACATTTTTGGCGCTTTGCCGTGACCTTGAGATTCTCGACCCGATTCCGCGGCTCCCCCGTGCTCCAAGCCCCTGAAAATCCATCTGCGGGACTTCGGCGGCCGGGTCTTTCGTTCTCCCGCCGGGTTTCCCGGTGCGAACCTCCGGAGGGTTGCTGCAGCCCTTAAGGGTTTTTTGGGAAAACCGCCGCCGCACGGTGGATCGAGTCAGTGGGAGAGGTCGGACAAAATTTGAAAAGCTTATAACTCGGTTAATACTAAACATGGAGGTTTTTAAAGTGGTTCTATTGGTTTCCTTGTTTAAATGTCTTGTTTAGGCTTCCCTTAAACTTTAAAATTTGACGAATTGAACATCAAAAGTTGCAGTTTTAGTTAAACATTTCATGTCCGACCTCTCTAATTGACTCGCTCCACTGTGCGCCGTTCCCGCCCTGAGCAGCCTGATTGTTGAAATTTTTAGTTTGTCGGGACGACATAGATGACATAGGTTAAAAGGCGAAGCATGATTGGTCGGCTATGTCCTATCGCTGCGTTATCGTGCCTTTGTCAGGTGGAATGATCGACATACTGTCGGAAACTGAAGAGGTGCCGTTAGCTTGTCGAGAGGTCAACCCGACATAGGCACGACAAAGCAGCGAAAAGACATAGCCGACCAATCACGCTTCGCCTTTTAACCTATGTCATCTATGTCGTCCCGACAAACAACAAATTTCAACAATCACAACAAAAATTTTCAACAGGCACGCGGGATTCCCCGGGCTGCCGGAGCTTAAGTTCGAACCGTCTCCAACCTCGAGCTCTCCGGACGGGTGCCGCGCACTGAAAGGCCGGTTTTTCGACCCCTGCATGAAGATTCCTATTTCGTACGTTCCCGTTCGTACCCCGATGGGCTGATTGTTGAATTTGATAGACGAAGAAGACATAGGGAGTATGGAGCTGTCCTATTGGTGGGAGTGGGTGGTTCTTTTAAACCAAGGGGAAATATGATGGACTAACTGAAGGGTCTCTTGTCCGTTGCTGTAGGTTAATCCATCACCCACCCTCTTTGTCCATCGCAACCACCTGTTTTCACCAGAAGGATCCCTTCAAATCCTTTCTGTCTTCTTTGTCTATAGCTTTGTCCATAAATTTCAACAATCAGCCCGCTGGCTTCCTGTTCCACCTGCGGCTCGGCGATGTTCGACAAGGTCGGATTTCGCGATCCTTCCGTCCGGGGAGAAGGGTGGGGCTGGGGCTCTTTGACGGTTTTCCGAAATATCGCTTAGGCTCTCTCCCCGTCGTGCCTATTAAGGCTGCGTTTGGACCAGAAATCCTGCCCTTCGTTCCGCGTTTTCGCCGCTGAGCATCTTATAAAAAAGGAAATTAAAAGTTTTTAGTGAGGAGACCTTGCCTCCCTCTTTGACGTAGTCGCCACCTCTGTTTTGAGATTTCTGTTATCAATATTGCAGCTCCTTGGTGCCTTTCGCGTAGAGGCTCTTGTTTTGGCACCAAAACCAGTCATTGACAGCGCTCTGCACTTCCGAATCAGTTGCTTTGCATAAGAAAATTTTCCACATTCTCCGTACTCTCTCGATTTAGCCTCATGTTAGTATGTTACTTCATTTGTTCCCTGAGCTGAAAACATTTATCGGTGGAAAGCGGTCTCCGACAGATTAAGAAATGCAGAGCGCTGTATGTCAATGACTGGTCTCGGTGCCAAAACAAGACCCTTTACGCGGAAGGCACCAAGAAGCCGCAATATTGATAACAGAAATGTCAAAACAGAGGTGGCGACTATGTCAAAAAGTGAGGCAAGGTCTCCTCACTAAAAACTTTCAATTTTCTTTTTGATATGATGCTCAGCGGCAAAAATCCGAGTCTGAAATAATCGACTCTTCGCGAATCCGGACTCCGGAGGTGGGCACGGGGCAACAGGAGGTTGTCGCAGTAAAAGTGAGTTTCCTCGCGAACCCCTCAACCGATTTTCAAAAACTTGGGCTTTTTTTAAAGCTTGGATTATGCCTGATAATGCATTTTTATCGATTTGACTTATCTCTTTTCGTTCGGATGATACAAGGTAAGGAACCTTACTTTTTGGATGACCCTTGTAATTTGATACAAGAATGTTTGAGGGTTCAGCTCACTTCCTGAGTATATTTTCTTTCTTTACACCAGTTCACGCATGGATGTTTAGATAACCTGCGATCCATGACTCCCTCTATTACTCACTTTGCTCCATACCCTCTATTTCTTGAGAATATAAAATTTTCTACAAAAGTTGTGTGAGTCAATCCTCTGCAACTCAACTTATATTTTAAGAGAGTTATTAAAACAGGTTCAAACTGAGTTTCAGATTTGTGTTCAAGCTCCTGGTGTGGTAATATTAAGCTGTTAAAACGTTTTCAAGTATGGTGTTTTACTTACTGTACGTGATCATCTCAAGATCTTTCGTGACTCTCGAAATTCGAAATTAAATAAAAAATGCAATGCATATTTTGAGATTTCTGGGCTTTGAGAACTTGTTCACCAGATAGGCCCATTCAATGAATATACCTAAATGAATCAGCGGAATGTAAACTGGCCATTAAGTTTTAGCTCCCAATTTAATAAAAATAGTTTTCCCCTTACTCTTGAAGTAACATGACCCAAGAATGAAGTTTTCCCCTTACTCTTGAAGTAACATGACCCAAGCTCGTGGTAATTTATAATTGAGTTTAGCAGTCCTATTGACAAAGATGTCGTAAGAACCTGCTTGAACAGAATTTAGAGTATTTCTTTCTCCACCTCATGCCACTAAATTTTTACCAGATGTCCTTGCCGCCCTCTTCTGAGAGGAACCTGATAAGTTATTACAATGGAACATACTGAACTCCAATTGACCTAATCGAACCTAATTGAATTTTAACCTATTCAAACCTAATCGAACATACTATTTAACCTAATCTAACTTTCCCTTTATTTTCATTCCTTATATTTTTTGTTGTAGGATGAAGACGACTTACCTTTCAGGAAAGGAGATATTCTGACTATAGTTGCCAAAGATGAAGAACAATGGTGGACAGCAAAAAATTGCCTGGGACAAACTGGTTCCATTCCTGTACCATACGTACATAGGGTAAGCACCAATAACTGGTCATATCTGTTCATCTGTGATTATCTACTTCCACCTTATGTGTTCCGTATGAATCACTCTTTGTGAAAGGAGGAATATCGTTATGAGCCTTTTCCGGCCCCATGTGGATATTCCTAAATGTCTCATATTTTCAAAGTACTAGTCTTCGGTAGACTCTGTGCCAAATATTTCACCGAATAGAGCCTGTGCAAGGGCACAGCAGCACCTCAAACCCAAAATCCTGGAATTGAAAAATATTATTTACCTCAACTTTTTTGACTGTTATCACTCGTGCATGAGGCAATTCCTACGTATTTTTTTGCGTACTTTCCTTTTCCGGCCTTAAAAGAGGCCTCCGATGACTCTGAAGGGGCTCTATGGTCTGTTGTTGCCATTTTTGGTCAATTTTTAGGGGTTTTTTCCATTTAACTCATTCCAAACTTAATTTAATCCAAAAACTATGTACATTTTTGAAAAGCACTTAAAAAAGGCTGAGTAAAACTTTTGCTACGTTGCCAAATTTCCAAGAAAATTCGTTCCAAAGCGTCAAAAACGGCAAAAATCGATAAATCGCCGCGCGTAAGGTTCAAGAAAGTGGAGTACAACTTTTGTATTGAAGCATCTCACAGCTCTTATCCATCCATAAAACATTTAAAAAAATCATATTTGTACCTGGATTCCCACGTTGTTAGCTATCGAGCGATTTTTTGTATGTGTGTGTGCAATTCCATAAGATCCCTCATAACACGCTTTAGTATAAGTGTGTATTTTACACGGGTTTTTCGAGACTATCGATAGTCGCTATTCAATATGTCGATACGTCCATTCAATTCTAGACCTACCAACCCTTTCCTGCAAAATACCCTGTTCTTTCCGAGTTTCCTTATCTTTGCCTTCTTTAACTCCGTTTTTAAGTAAACTGTATTAATTATCTAATTAATAATATAATCTATTAATATTAATCTAATTAATGATAATAGCGACTATCGATAGTCTCGAAAAACCCGTGTAAAATACACACTTATACTAAAGCGTGTTATGAGGGATCTTATGGAATTGCAGACACACATACAAAAAATCGCTTGATAGTCATAAAAATCCCCATTTAAACACGGCAAAACCTCACTACAATTCGATATATTTGAAGATTTTTCGAGATTTTTACATTGATCTAACGGCAGAGTAATAAGAAAGTTATCTCCAGTTGATCACTGGGAGAACAAAAGGGGTAATTCTTGCATTTAAGGGGGGCTGGGGGGTAAGCAGAGGGGGTAAAAGTGAAGACTTTTTGGAAAACACTGCTTTTGAAGATCTAGTCGATGGTAAAAAATTCAGCTTTTTTCTAGTTTGTTCCACCAAAAGCCCTTCTTTTCCCTTCGTTGACTGGACTATATCCCGAAATCGTGCGGATTCCTTGAAATCATCCAAATTTTTCCCACAGATTAGATTTTTCCGCAAAATCGGTGAAATCCGTACATTTTCTTGAAATTTACGTATGTATGCGTGTAAGACGAAATTCGCCGCGCTTTTTTCAAAATATGAAATTACAGAGTTGTTTCTGAGCGTTGGTCATCATTGGCTACTAGCTATCAACGTTCGCCAATGGTATCAAAATACTAATGAAAGAAATCGTGGCAACCGGGGCATAAACATAATCACAAATAATTTTAACATCAGCATCTCACTCGATCTATGTCAATTAAATTGTGTTTTCATTTTTCGATCGACTTGTGTTGATGATTCTTGTCCCCACCGGCTTAAGTAAGTCATGATCATCTTATTCTATTCCGACAAAATTTTCAGTTCCTGTTTTATGTTTTGTTCATTTTAGTATGAGGGTTCACTTCAGCCTGATAGTGTGAAGGATAGTCATTCCCCAGCTGTGGGCACTGTTGCAAACAATGTGCCAGATACCACTATTAAGAGAAACAAATTACAGGTAAGGAAAAAAAAAAGTACATTGAAAACCTCTCTTTTTGGAAGGCTTACAGCACACACTCTTTAAGTTTCAGCTGTTAACTCCTGCAGTATGGCCATTAAGGTAACAGCACCAGTACCCGAAATGGTACCAGTATCCGGAACGTCGCTCAGTTTTTCGTAAAAAATAAGCGGTAGGTACATCAGTGCAAAAAGGGCATCAGGTTTTCACATATTACACTCAGAGGGCGCCACCTTGCAATAAGTGTGATGGTAGTGCGCTCCTTCTATTATCTGTACCATGCTTCCATAGTGACGTATTCACAGAGCGGTTCGTTCTGTGAATACGTCACTATGGAAGCATGGTACAGATAATAGAAGGAGCGCACTACCATCACACTTATTGCAAGGTGGCGCCCTCTGAGTGTAATATGTGAAAACCTGATGCCCTTTTTGCACTGATGTACCTACCGCTTATTTTTTACGAAAGACTGAGCGACGTTCCGGATACTGGTACCATTCCGGGTACTGGTGCTGTTACCTTACCTTGTATTATTAACGGAGTAACGCCATTCTTTGTAATAACTACATCAAGGTTGGCCTTGTTTTCCCCAGCCCTAAGAAACCAATGGGTTTTTCATTTTTTTTTGTTTTTTTTTTTTCAATAAAATCGGAACAATACCCGAAAACATCCTTTTGGACAAAAAAAGGAAGGAAGGTAATTTTCAAAGGCACACAGAACGTTCTTGCAAAGGTAGAGGATGCCCAACCCAGAGGATAGGTAGATGTGCGGTGCGGCCTGATGATGAGTCACTTGCCAGGCCCCTGTGAATGTTACTTTTGGGGTTAGTCTCAGTTGAACGAATGAAAACCTCAATAAACAATCGGTTCGTGACTTCATGTGCGTGTGAAATTATTATGTTTGAGTTAATTACCTTGTATTAAAGGACCGCAAAAGATACTATCTGTCGGGATGCTTAAGTTCATGAACACCATAATATTAGCTTCCAAAGATCTAAGTGTCAATCTTTCAATTGAACACAATTTGATCCATGGGTCTGTCGCACCCAAGAGGTACAGATAACTGAATATTCTTTCTTTAGGTGAATTTGCTCAAAAATCACATCGTGCACACAAAATAAGTTTGAAATTCACTCCTCAGGGCAAAATCTTATGTGTGTAACATGCTTTTTTAAATGAAACCAGTCTTAGTAGATCTCTAACTACCATGAAAATTTCAGCTCAAAATATTCATTTTTACTCGAGTTATCGCTTGGACAAAATTAAACCTCCTCCCACTTGGACCGCTCGCTGTGCGAAAAGTAATTAACATATTTTGATTTTCTTCACAGTTTAAAAGTACTCTTAGGGGACTATAAACCCCAGAAGTTTCGTTTCAAGAAACTTAAAAATTAACTGCCGCTCAAAGCTCTGAAAACTGAAAAATCCTCACGCTGGCTGAAATACATACGTACATACATAATATATATATGACTGAAAATGAATGACATATATATATTCGTGATCTACGACTGGAGATCGGTGCTCTTTACATGGTCCCAGGTCTTGGTCCCACCATGAGGGAGAACGCAAATAGTGTATTTTTCCTTCGGAAAATACACTAAAGAGTGTGTTACAATCTGTGCAGATTGAGAGGTAAGAAATGAATTTCAGTCGCGTTTAATGTGCCCAACGTGATTTTCGTGTAATTTCACCTATAAAAAGCACATACATTTATTTGGCTGTATCTTTTACATATAACAGACCCATTCATGGTATGAACATGAACATATTTAGCCTTCCAATTTCGCTTGATGTATGCAGTGTAGGTAGGTAATTTTGAAGATGATGCATTTGAAATCGTAAGGTTCACCTGACTCAAATATTTGGCTGAGTTTATATTGCTGATACCTAAGAAGGTTCCGTCTTCAACCTAAGACCCAATCAACAATTTGAACAATTTCTTGTTTGTGCCCCATAGCCCCCCCCCCCCCCCAAAAAAAATACTTATATAGGTACCTTAGAGATACTTGAAGGGCATCAGAACTAGAGTACCTTTATAGACAAAGTATGGCCAATTCTGTGCCGGTTTCTCATTGGTCGCGTGAAAATAGGCTGACACGATGTTCTTACGGCCGTAAATAAACAAACAAGATGGCTGTTATCAGCAAGTAAGTTTAAGGTTTTGCACACCTTACATCTTCCTGTGATAAAGGCGAAAGGCGATTTAACAGTGCCTTCATGTGTTTTTCATATGTCATTCGTAGATATGCTAGTTTAAATTGTTACAGCCGTATAATTAAATTTTTTGTCAAATTTTAGCTTCTCATCAATGTTACGATGAGTCGCCATCTTGTTTGTTTATTTACGGCTGTAGAGCATCATGAAGCTTAAAAACTAGTTGACCAATCAAAAAGCGGCACAGTTTTCCTGTAGTAAAAAGGTACAAATGGCCATACTCTTTCTGTAAAGGTACTCTAACTTGGATATGTTGCTCAGCTAGTCATTCTGAACTAAAGTTCTTACGGGCCAAAAGAGATCCACGAGCAGTTTTCGAGATATTAGTGGTCTTATGTGCGTAAATTGAGGTTTCGCTGGGCGGACCATTGTGCGGTGCTTCTTGTACCCTTCCCTTCCAGTCCACTTCAGCCGCTCTCCGCTTCCCCGCCTCCCATACCCGAGGCGCGGACTCCGACGCTCACGGTGATAAGACCACCCAGTTCGGCGACGGTGAGCAAAGTCTCATGAGCGTCGGAGTCCGAGCCGCGGGTATGGCCCTGTCTCCACGGGACGTTTTCATGGGATTTGTCCCAAGTTCGAATCGCAGGAATGAAGCTTCTGGGATTTTTCCCCGTCTCCACGGGACGGGGCTCATACAGTCCTGCGACTATTTTGCGCAGGAAGGTAAATTAGTTAAAGTCGAGTATTTAACCGGGATTAAAATAATAATTGCACTCAATTGACAATTAGTCACATTATTTTAACTAAACAAACATTAAGTACCATACTTGGTACTGGGAAAAATATTAATAAACTCAATTTTTTTCCCAACTTCGTAAGTGGAATTTTTCCCTCGGACAAATCTCGTGAAACGGCTCGTGGAGACAAGGCCTATGGGTGGCGGGGAAGCGGAGAGCGGCCGGAGTAGACTGGTAGGGAAGGGTACAAGAAGCACCGCACAATGGTCCGCCCAGCGAAACCTCAATTTACGCACATAAGACGACGAATATCTCGAAAACCGCTCGTGGGATCTCTTTCGGCCCATAAGAACTTTTGATCAGAATGACTAGCTGAGCAACGTAACCAAGTTTCATCAGATTGTAGAGAGAGCCGTTTCCCATAAGGTCCGTGCGGGGTTCTTTTGTAAAATGCCTCTAATTCTTTAAAAGTGGGCATCAAACGCACCACCTGGGTCATTAATTTAAGTTCCTCAGGCCGTGTCTCCACGGGACGTTTTCATGGGATTTGTCCCAAGTTCGAATCGCAGGAATGGAACTTCTGGGATTTTCCCCACTTACCGTCTCCACGGGACGGGGCTCATACAGTCCTGCGACTAGTTTTCGCAGGAAGATAAATTGGTTAAAGTCGAGTATTTAACCGGGATTAAAATAATAAATGCACTCAATTGACAATTAGACACATTATTTTAACTAAACAAACATTAACAATGTAGTAATGAATAAAATATAGCACAATTCGTTTTCACTTCTTCTTCTTCTCTCAGCGGGTCCTAGGGGTACAAGTACCATACTTGGTACTGGGAAAAATATTGATTAACTCAATATTTTTCCCAACTTCATAAGTGGGATTTTTCCCTGGGACAAATCTCGTGAAACGGCTCGTGGAGACAAGGCCTAAATGATCTTTGGACTAAACTCAAAATTCAAGGGATACAAGGCAGTAAGGAGGCTGGAAAGTAGGGCGCTTTGCTCCGCAAGATCGCACAAACAGTTCATTTTGGAGTACTGTAAATTTTGAAAAAATGCCTTTAATTCTTTGAAAGTAAGCATCAAGCACACTACCTGGGTCATTAATTTAAGTTCTTCAAAGATCTTTGGACCAAACTCAAAATTCAAGGGATACAAGGCACAAAAGAAGGGCACTTTGCTTCGTGAGATCATGCTCATTTTGACGGACTGTAGATACTGTGGAAAGCCTTTAATCATGTGAAAGGTGGCACAAAGCACTACCTGGGTCAATCATCCAAGTTCCTATAAGATCTTTGGACTAGACTCAAAATTGAAAAGGTGGCCTTAACAAATCGCCATTCAGGCCGAACGCTCAAGGAAACGGAAAACTCCTCGGTATTAGCAGCAAGTGCTTTGAGTCAGGTGAAACCTACGATTTCAAATGCATTATCCCAAGTAGCATTTTTCAACGGAAAAATCGCGTTTATCCTCGATTTTATCGGCGATAAAATCGCTAGGATCATCAACATCTGAGCGATTATCCTCTATCTTTTCGCGATTTTATTGCGATTTTATCGCGATGAGATCGAGGATAATCGCTCAGATGTTGATGATTCTAGCGCTTTTATCACCGATAAAATTGCCAAAAAAAGGGGTTAACGTTGTTAGCCGATTGCCGTTAGATTCAGCCGTCAGGTCCTAGTCCTTTGATGAAGACGAGCGTAAAATCCCCGGGTGCGAATTGGAGCCTCTTCTACATGGATCGGCGCTTCGCAACCTTACAGCTTATGTCTTTGCGTTGACTGACACCGAGTTTCATTGGATTTTTTTTTTTTTTTTTTTTCCTAGTCAATTTTCCCTCCTCTGTATTTTGTTTCATTCTTTGAAGTACGGTTGGCAAAATAAGGTTCTATTGGTAATCTCATCATTCTGTCTCTGTAAAATTACCAATAATAGTGAGATGGCAAAGTTACCAATGGACCTTGGTAAAAACGCCAATATTTTTTATCGACTGTGGTAGAATGAGCTTGTTAACCTGTTTCTAATTCTTGCATTTTCAGAAACTGCATTGTCTCCTGATCACACAGTAATTTTTTCAGATTTTTTCGAGCCG